AACCACCGTGGCTGGGCACGATGACTGCTGTACAACTGTGGAAATGGTCAGATGCAGGTACTCTGCAGGACAAAGATGACCACAAAGGTTTACAAATGAGAATCCATTTGACAGACAAGACTCTCTTATCAGAGACTTCAGCATCAAAAATGGGAAGGGCCTAACCAGATAGATACATCATGAGGAATCTGCCACAGGTGAATAAAAAATACCAGTCTTCCTCCCTGAAGGCAGATTGAATACTCAGTGACAGTGGAAACAGAAAAGGACATTGGTGACATAAACTTGAGCTGAGGTTTTAGTGGTGGTGGCTAATTTAGCCCCTTGGTTCTGTTGTAGGGCCACAAACCTTGACCAAGCAGAGTAGAAAAGGCCAGAAAGAGGCGCTTGAAGATGATGGATTTGACTCCTGATTTTATTATTCAATTTCTTTTTCTACTGAAAGTAGTCTTCAGTGGCTTTCGGGAAGCCTGGCCTCCCAAGACCAGAGTCAGTTGGAGCTGGCTTTTCGTTGGAAAGAGTGGGTGAGTGAGTGGGTGGGGGCTGGGATGAGGGCAGAAGACCCCACTCTGCTGGTGGTCTCGGGTGGAGAAGACGACTGCACTTCAGAGCCTGGGGTGCGGTGGGAGGGGATGAGGCAGGAGTGACGAGCTGGGGTCAGGGCCACCTCAGTCCCCGGCTTCATTCTCTTCCAACGTCTCCCCGCTGGTGGCGTTTTCTGCGGTCTTGGAGGCCTACATCCCAAACAAACAACCACAAAGACAGAAAGAAAAAGACATCAATTCCTGAAGCAGAGAAGGATGAGCTGATAGCCCACCATTATCAGAAAAGATCTCCCCCCAGGAGATCATTACACACCTTCTTTTTCTTCTTTTTCTGGGTTTTTCGACTTGCAGAACTCTGGAGAAGAGCCTGGAAGACAAGAGGAAGGCAAACGCTGAGAAATGTGGGACAGACAAAACTCTCCGCCTACTCTGGCAATTCTTTTCAGGACTTGCCATAGGTACGTGCCCATGGTCCCCATTTTCCATTCAACACTAACCTTTAGCTCTGCATCCTGGACTTCCATCTCAGACTTGTAGAGTTCAGGCTCAAAGGGACCACTGGTTATCCTCATGGGGCCATTGGGCATGAGGAGGACTGTAAATTTAAACTGGGCAACAAATTCACCTACGGGAAAACAAGAATCCCAGCTACACTTAGTTCTTTTCTGAAGGTAAAGGGAGGGAAGCGTGTAACTGGGGGCTCTAAAATGAACCCCTTCTCAGGACTCACCCTCCTTCTCATAGAGAACATTAAATGGCTGTAGTAACTCATGTTTGGCACACTCTACCACACCCATTCGAGCCTTCTTCTCATCTTCAAATGCTCTGGGAAGAGAGACAGCATTCAGGTCTCCTTGACAACCCGCCAGGTCATTAACACTTGGTTTATTAGTGTGACTGCAGGTATGATGGGGGGTGGGGGCAAGCCTGGGGTGCAGGCCAGAGGAGGACTTTCTGAAGCTGGTCGGTGGGTTTCAGGGGTGGAACTTAGGCTGGCAGTCTTGCACAGACAACTGGCCCTGTTGCTGAAGACAGGTTCTTGCTCAGTGCAGCTCAGGCTAACTTAAACTCTGCTTCCTGCCTCAGCCTCCGTGCGGCACCACGAGCATGCGCCACCACACTCAGCTGCGCATGTTTAAACCACTGCTACCCTCACGCAGAAACGTGTTCGGGGTTGCTCTTCTGTACTGTATTCAACAAGGAGATGGGCAGAAGAGGACGTGCACCCAGGCAGGAGCTACAAGTCTGGGCAGGAGGGAGGGCAGGCTGAGGGAAGGGAGGGTGCTTCTGGGTGTGCACACTGAGTCAGACTGGTTCCAGTCCTGTTCTTGCTCTACGCAGTACCTTAAAGTAAACGGCATGGCATCAAAACGTCTCTCCACCTCACTGAAAAAGGCACGTGAAGTTTTCATTTTCAGGCCGTATTGTTTAGAGGGGTCTCGCTTGTAAATGGTGGTTCTCTGTCCTGCATCTTTGGCCTAAGAGAGTTGAGTCAGGTCATATATGGTCTGGTGAGCACACCTTCAAGTCACCCCTTTTGCTAATTACAGAATTTTTACCTTGCCTTCTCCTGAGCTCACGAGGACATCCACAGCATAAACTTCATGTACCTCAAATTCAGCCTTTTCATGGTCCTTCCTAAAAGGAAGAGGGACCCCTAAGAGTGAGCCAGACACAAGGGTGCAAGCCTATGCTCTCAGCATCAGGACTAGATAGTAACAACTCCCCAAAAGAAAGACGGCGCATTAATGAAGAGCACATACTGCTCCTTAGAGGACCTGAGTTCGGTTCTCAGCACCCAAACCAGGTGGGCTTACCACTGCCTCCAGCTCTAGCTCCCAGGGGATTGATGCCTCTGGCTTCTAAGGGCACCTGCACTCATGTTTAGACAGACACACTTATAAGTAATCTCTAGAGTAGTTGGAGAAGGTAACAAAGTAGGGGCATGGACAAATAAAATCTGACAGCTAGTACAGTATGGTAAAAGGCAAAGAACGGGGGTGGCACCCACTTCTGCTGGTCTGTAGGATTCTGGATAATGGTTTTCTCTCCATCGATCACATGCTGCTTCAGTTGGTGTGAGAGCATACCTGTAGACAGGATAAAGCCATGGTACCAGCTGTACAGCCCCCTAACAGCTTCCAGACCCACTCACGTAAGGAGTTGTTGGTGTAATTATGCCTGCCTGGCTATGGAAACGGCAGAGAAGTCTCTGCCTTAGACAAAGCTAGAGCCAGGAGGGATCCTTAATTCTACCACACCACTCATGGTCAGACCTTAGCCCCATCATTTGAGATCTCACCTTCTATTGGCGTGCAATTAAATGAGTGAGCAACTTTGTTCCAGGCTTCTGTCACTTGTGTGTTCTAGAAGTACAAGAGCGAACAAAAGGTGAGATATCTGTATTTTCTAACTTATTCTCTAACATCCCCTCATCAAGTGCCAGCGATTCTCATTCACAATCTTACCATTCCTATAAACTAAAACATTTATTTTAAAAATGCAGCCTGGCTATGGTGCCACCTATCTCTCAAGCCAGCTTGGTCTACAGAGTGAATTCCAGGTCAGCCAGGGCTACACAGAGAAACCCTGTCTCAAAATAAAAACAAACAAAAAAATTGCTCTCATAAAGATGATCCAAGTTGGGGCTGGAGAGATGGCTCAGAGATTAAGAGCATTGGCTGCTCTTCCAGAGGTCCCGAGTTCAATTCCCAGCACCCACATGGTGGCTCACAACCATCTGTAGTGAGATCTGGTGCCCTCGTCTAGCATTCAGGAATACATGCAGACAGACAGAATACTGTATACATAATAAATAAATCTTAAAAAAAAAGAAAAAAGAAAAAAGAAAAAGAAAAAAAGATGATCCAAGTAGACAACAGTTCTTAAAAAACAGAGCAGATCTATATCCCAATCCGGAAGACAAGGAAACACGCTCAAAAAGGTTAGATGACTTGTCCAAGGCTGACCAAGTATTCAGTGGAGAAACCTTGCCAAAACCCCTATTTTCCAATGCCAAGTCTAGAGTTTATTCCTTAGCATTCTACCCAATGGAGAATAAACAACAGAAACAATAAAGCTTATTTTTAATTTTTTTTTTTT